ACAGTGAGAACACTACCAAATGGTCAAGCAGAAGTTAACTTTGTAGTTCAGTGCTGAAGATGATGTACTGTATATACTAGATAAGGCCTGAGGCCACGCAGCTTAAAAAGGAAACAGAAAAGGAGTAATTACAGCTGAGTGGCAATGATTTTTTTTTTTTGGTAATTTAAGGAATTTAACCTCAAGTGAAGGTCATACAGGCTACCTTGATTTTGGTGCTTGCTAATTTTTTAAAAAAAGACCCTAACCAAGCAACCTTAATGGGATGCTCTTGACATCACTCTCCTAATATTTTAGGAGGAATAGGTTGGCACAGAACTTCATTTGTGAAATGGACTTTTTTGAGCAAGCAGGATTCAATATTTACACTAAATGCTCAGAACTCTGTACTAGAGCTAATGCTATAACTCATAGCAACCACAAGTCCTTATTCCTGTGACAGTTCTCCTGCTAGGAAGGGAAGAGACAATTTCCTGAGGTTTTGAAGCTAGCTGCAGAGAAAGAAAACACAGCCTGGAGCGCTGTTCCAAACCCTGAAGGGCAATGATCTCTGGTGTAATGCTCCTCAACCATTAACCTTCCACAATGCTTAATAGATTAAGTATTTATGGTTTAAGCATGGTGGTTAAGGTGCTCCTTTTCCACCTTGCTGGTCAGCACAGCTACCGGTGAGGCCCGACTTGCACAACAGGTGTGGCTCTCATTTCAGGACCTTTTCAGGCAATTACAGGACCTTTGCCTGTGGCTTGACCCTGAAAATATCAACCCACCCAGTCAAAGTCTGGCAAAAGTGTAAACACTCTCAGGTATGATCTTCTAGTGAGAAGCATGAGGCAGCTCTAACTGCAGGTAACTACAGCTGCTGCCAGAATTTGGGTACACTCCTGTAGTTTAGATTTAACATACTTGATGAACTATTGCAATCTCACAGCTCCCACGCACTTTCAGAAAAGTGAAACCAAACACTTACTAATGAAGGCTTATATGTCAGCCGTCTATCCCTGTTTTAAAATTCTCCCAGCTCACCTCATCTCTACCTCTTAACACCTTTTTTTCCTCTCCATGCAACTTAGAAAGGAGAACTCTTCCTACCAGTTGCTCCTTACATGAAGGATGTTGGAAAGTCACTTCCAGCAACAACAGTGGCTGTTTTCTGGGGTCCTGAAAACCCTGCCTGGTGTATTTGAGTTGTCAAAGACAAGACCCTCCTGTGGGGAAACTTGGAAAAACTGAAAATTTGGAC